CAATGGGGTCGCGCGGCAATCGGGGCCTGCATTGTGCAGGACCGCGCGATCCCGATTGCGTAGGTCTGCACCGGGCCTCAGAAAACAGGAAAGAGAGCACCAGGCGGCTGAGATGGGTATTGTAGTCCAGAATTAATTTTTTAATTACAGTACACATTTAAACATGTTTTGAGAGTTCTTGATGACCAAACTAGGGATTACAACAGGCTTTTATACTCCTGCAGTAATAGATTGTGGGCTCCCAATACATATCTCCTGTCTGGATTCTCTCCTGTCCAACAGTATCAGACCCTGATGAAAGAGGCCCTTCAGCTCCAAAACGTGTTGACTTTTTAACAAATACCATAGCTCATTAGCTCATTCTGGACTACAACATGCACCTGGTGCTCTCTTTAATGTGTTTTATATATGCCATTCCAGGAGCCTTCCAGTGCCATTAGTGCAGCAAAGAGCTTCCTCATACACAGCCCATCGGGACACTATATCAGGGAGCCAAGCATGCCAAAATCCAATTTTTCCATTAGGTTGGCTTCATAGTAATCTAAGGAAACTCTCTTGAAGTTTTTGAAAGCTGCTCCTTGCAGGACAATGAAACATTGGAAGCATTGGATCAGTAACATAGAGGTAAAATCCATAGTGTACGTTCACCTCCACCAGTATCTACTTGGGAGAAAAATGCCCTAGCCCAAGGGTAGACAACCTTGGCATTCCAACTGTCATTGAACTACATGTCCCATGAGGCACTGCAAGACTCTGACAGCCACAGGCATGACTCCCAGAGGCATGATTGGATTGTTAGTTTCACCACAGCTGGAGTGCCGAGGTTACCCACCCCTGGCATAGAGTATTCATGTTAAAAAATATATGTATCATTCAGTTTATAATGATTATGAGGCCCTTGGATCCCAGTAGTCGTAGTGGGAGAAAGATTATAGATTTGAAAGGGTTAACACTGTTGATCCTGATTAGCCCCATGTTTCCAGTCTCTCACTGTATTCTGGAGCATGTCTCCAGTCTCCAACCAAACCTGTAGCATGTTGCCAGCCGGTGTTTGGACATGCCCTAGCCAAGGGTAGACAACCTTGGCATTCTAGCTGTAATGCAACTACATGTCCCATGAGGCAATGCAAGACTCTGACAGCCACAGACATGACTCCCAGAGGCAGAGGCATGATGGAATTTGCAGTTCATCACATCTGGTATGCCGAGGTTGCCTACCCATGCCTTAGCCCTACTGCAACTTGAAAATAAACACAGCTTAAAGTGTGATTCCTTTTGTGATTCAGCTCGTTATTATTGTCAATAGTATAGGCCAGCTCACATCTGTTTATTCTACATGAAAGAAAAACATTATTGATGACTTGTTGTTATTCAGACCCAAGTCAGAGTGTCCCGTCAAAATGATCATCTCCACTTATTGTAGCTGCACCATGTACATTTATTATTTTCCCAACATGGCCGTGTCATAGCCATTAACCAGAACTCCCTGTCGTTAAAAAGAACGCTGAGCCGTATGAAACATAAATATAAAAATAGCCGTGTTTCCTCTTCTCATATATGTTTAATGCAGGCAGTACTTAACTCGCCACAACCTTGTACTTAGGCCCATACGCACTCCCACGTCACGGCTATAAAGCTATCACACAACCGGTGGTATATATTTGTAGACAGGGGCCTATAAAAATAAAGCCTGCGTACAATTAGCCGGTAAATCACACCATTGCTCCGCAGCCGCGGCCCTGTAAAAAAATGAGCAAGCGGATGGAATTAGAGGTCAATTCTTATTTTATTTACAAACCTAAATGACAACCACATGCCAGCGTTTTTTTATTTTACCTTATAGCATTATTCTAAAGGAGCCCATACAAGGGCCGTAATGGCTACCAACTAGGTATACACCGATACCGAGTATTTTGGCGAGTACTCGTACACTCAAACAAGCCTGTGGGGAGAAGAAGCCCATGATAGAGGTAAGTGGGGGGTAAGAGGTGGGTGGGCAGGGCCATCGGTATAATGATCCCATGCACCTCAGGTGGCATCTCATTGGGGGGTGGCTGCTGTGTCCCAGGTTGCTGAGAGCTTAGCACCGTGTGATGTTCTGGCCAGCGTCCCACCCAGCTCACTCACGTCACCGGTTGCCAAGAGCAGAGCAGGATACTCTTTCCTGCATCCCCCAAGCTCCTGGCAACCAGTGACATCAGTGTGCTGGACGGGACGCCGCACAAAGCCGCTGACAACAGAACGGTCCTCCTCCTCCCCCACATTACAAACCCCCCCCCCCTCCCCCCACAACTGTTCCTTCTCTGTCAGCACCCTGATCATCCCAACTTTCCCCCCCTGACATTGCCTCAGGCAGTGAATACCATAAGGACACCCTGGGGATGGGGGGGATCTGCGAAGTGATCACTTTTCATGTTAGATGTTAGCAGTGGTGTCCCTAGCCTTTTTGCCTCCTGAGGCCAGGTGGGGGTGTTGTTGGGGTCGGGCGTGGGGGAGCTGTTCTGGTGTTGCACGCTAAAAGGTTGGACTATGATGGTGGATCCTCTGACTGGAGTCCCGTCCAGCTCACTGACATTGCTGTTTGCCAGGAGCTGGGGGGCTACAGGAGGAGCGGCATGGCCACCTGGCTTTCTTAACGGCCAGAGCGTCCCAGGTTGCTAAGGGCTGGCCCGGACCTTACACATCTTGCTGCCTGCTGCCCCCCACGTGACCCAAAGAGATGGCATCTGTTAGTTGGCCATGCTACTGCCTCCCCAATGAGATGCCGCCTGAGGCTAGCACTCATTATGGGGGACACCCCTGGGGAAGACCCCCCAAAGGTGCCCCGGAAAATGTAACTTAGTGCAAATAAAAAAGTATGACAGACAGAACTCATCTGTGTTGTTACAAAGTGCAATAACTAGTTGCAAAAAGAAGCTCCAATTTTAATTTTTAGCATTTCCTGGAATGTTTATATTTCTAGTCAGTTTTGTCCACCTCAGGGCGAGCAGTGAGGGAGCCTTGTGGCCAGGCCCGAGGTGACCAGTGTCTTTTATTTGTAGTCCCCCCCCCCTCCGAATAGAGGAGTGTGTGAGGTAAGCTGAGGCTGTACAGGAGGGGAGGGGGGAGGAATGGAAGGAGGTTTGTACACAGTGCTGAGCTTAGATCACATCTGTTCCCCCGCCGCCTGTGATGGGATTAAATTACTGCACATTGGGAGTGAATGAGGCTCTATAGACAGAGGGCTGAGCTCAGTCAGTGCCTCAGTCAGTGCACCTCTGTGCCGCCTCTCCTTCCACCGCCCGGACTGTGTATTCATCACAGCCGCTCTCATCTACACTCCATTCACTACAGAGGGGAACATCGCACGGTGTCACCGGGGTCTACAGGGAACCCTCTGCAAAGTGAGTTTATCGCACGATGCTGCTCATCGATCACTGGATACTGTAGATCGTTCGCTGCTATCGATTGTCCAGATCTGCCAGGACTGTGCACCCACTAGAAGGACTGTGTGTGCATTGCCCATATCTGCCTGGACTCTTTGCTGTGCATTGCCTGCATCTGTCAGGGCTGTGCATTGCCTATCTCTGCCAGGGCTGTGCATTGCCTATCTCTGCCAGGGCTGTGCATTGCCTATCTATACCAGGGCTGTGCATTGCCTGCATCTGTCAGGGCTGTGCTTTGCCTAGGTCAGCCAGGGTTGTGCATTGCCTATCTCTGCAAGAGCTGTGCATTGCTTAAGTGTGCCAGGGCTGTGCATTGCCTATCTCTACCAGGGCTGTGCATTGCTTCAGTGTGCCAGGGCTGTGCGTTGCCTATCTCTACCAGGGCTGTGAAATACCTTGGTCTGCCAGGGATGTGCATTGGCTACATCTGCCAGGGCTGTGCATTTCTTAACTGTGCCAGGGCTTTGCATTGCCTATCACTGCCAGGGCTGTGCATTGCCTCATTGTGCCAGGATTGTGCATTGCCTATCTCTGCCAGGGCTGTGCATTGCCTAACTGTGCCAGGGCTGTGCATTGACTATCACTGCCAGGACTGTGCATTGACTATCTCTTCCAGGGCTGTGCATTGACTATCTCTGCCAGGGCTGTGCATTGACTATCACTTCCAGGACTGTGCATTGACTATCTCTGCCAGGGCCATCAACTAGGACTTCATTCCTGAGAATACACCAGATCAGCCCTGGCTATGCATTGCTGAACTGTGCCCATGCTTTGCATTGCCTATCTCTACCAGGACTCATTGCTGTGCATTGCTTAGATATGCCAAGACTGTACATTGCTTATATCTGCCTGGGCTGTGTATCTATCAGATATCACATTACTTTGAATACACCAAATCAGTCTGTGCTGTGTGTTGCCTAGCTGTGCCAGGGCTGTATGTTGCCTAGCTGTGGCAAGGCTGTGCATTGCCTAGCTGTGCCAGGGAGGTGCATTGGCTATATCTGCCAGGGCTGTGCATTGCTATTCTTACCAAGACACATTGCTCTGCATTGCCTATTCTTACCAAGACACATTGCTGTGCATTGCCTAGGTCTGCCAGGACTGTAGTTTGCTAATCTCTGCAAGGGTTGTGCATCAACTTGGAGCCTCATTGAGGGGAATACCCATCTCTGCCAGGATTGTCCATTGCCTACCTGTGCCAGGACTGTTCATTTTCTATTCCTATTAGGACTCATTTGTGTGCATTATCTAGCTCTGCCAGGGCTTTCTATCCACTAGAAGCCCCATTCTGCCAGGGCTGTTTATTGTCTGTCTGTGTCAGGACTGTGCACCCACTGAAAGCATCATTGTTTTGAATGCCCCATTCTGCCAGGGCTGTTTATTGTTTGTCTGTGCCAGGACTGTACACCCACTGAAAGCCTCATTGTTTTGAATGCCCCATTCTGCCAGGACTGTTAATTGTTTGTCTGTGCCAGGGCTGTGCACCCACTAGAAGCATCTTTGCTGTGGACCCTTCGGGTCTTTTGATCACTGCAGTGGAACTTCTCTAAATTGTGGCTCCTCTGTCTCCTCCAGGATGCCAGCCGCGGCCGGGGACGGGCTCAGCGAGTCTCCCCCCAGGTTCTTGCTTGGGGAAAAGGCACCAATTCAGCTGCAAGAGTCCTTCCTGCCATCCTGTGTGAGCAGCGTGTCCCGAGAGACTCTGCGCAACTTCCACCACACCAAGAGAGTGGGCAACTACCTGATCGGGAGAAAGCTGGGAGAGGGCTCCTTTGCCAAAGTCCGAGAGGGGCTGCATGTGGTCACCGGAGAGCGGGTAAGGCACCACCATGGTATACATCTGTGCAATTGTGCTGTGTTTTGATATAATCTCACACATTGCAATGTTTTCATCTAATATATTTGCAGAGGTGCTGGGTTCTAATGCTGGCCATAAACACATCAATTTATCATGGACCATGAATAAATATCGACTGTGCAATTGGGTCACTTATAAAAGTGAACTGAAGTTGTCTTAAGTCGATTGCTTTCAAGAATAAAAAATGTGCTGGAAGAAGTTAACAAAATTCAAAAGAGAAAATGACAGAGTTAAGATTGTCTAGGAAACGATCAGAAGTTTACAACCCCTCTGATCACTTTTATCTGCGACTCAGTCTTGCAAATAAGTTTAAAAACGATAGATTCTGTTAGAAAATTAAAAAAAAATAGTTTTATTGATTATGTGGCCAGCATAAGATCCAAAGGTAAAGCTGCCCTCTTACATTCTGTACAATCTGGTTATATAAAGTGGTACAAAAATGTGTGAGCTCGCATAGGGTCCAACATATTCTTGATGGCGTATGAAACGGGAATTGGATGAGTGTGATAAAATTGGGTTAGATCTAGCAGAGCTGACCACACTCCTTGCAACCCCCTTCTTCAGTAACTTAATTATTTGATTAAAGGATATTTTCATGTTTGTTCCATTCATCCTCCAGTTAGATTGTACAGCCCAGTTGTAATATCTATGGCCAGCCCAAGGACGCATTTTTCTATAAGAGTGGACTAAGATTTAATAGGTTTGCATTGATGAAACATTTTTAATTGAATGGCTACAAATGTTAATGTTGAGATTGTTATATGTGACGTGCAAACTACCTGTTTTGGAAACAACAAAAACTTTTTGTGGTTACTATGCAGTTGGCTTTTCCATTCAGCCAAAATGAGATTGAATAACTTGATTTACATTACAATAGTCCTGCGATCTTATACATTGTATTGGTCCTGGACCATTCCTGCTTTTCGGGATTTGCCCCTAGATATTTTGGTCCAGCTTTATAGCATAGAATCCTTTTCTTCTGCATGTTGGTTTCAGTTCACATTTTATCACCTGTTGATCTTCTGTGGGATTTGGACTTATTTTTATTTAGGACACATAAAACCATATCAATGTATTCTTATGTCATATACCAAAAAATATATAATTGGGGCTGTAGTGGAGTGTGCAGAGTTCAGCTAGATCCATTGGTTTTGGTGCATGACAGTGATCATTTACTGTGGGCGGGAGCTCTGATACGCTGCCAATGAAGGGGCACGGCTAGAATCGCACATTTCAGTAGTGCCGAAAAGAACAGTTGTCTGTAGTAATCACCAATCAGAAATAGTTTTCTGATTTTAAAGCAAATCTGCTTGTGGGATATGGGTGCCTGTGGATTGAAATCAGATGCCGAACTGGCATCCCCTGCATGTCGTAGAGTGACCTGAAATCTGCAAAACTGGGGAAATCTAACCTGCAACTAGGACTGCCTATGTCATTGCCAGCTCCAACCCTTCCTGCTTTATCCGGTTCACTAATGGTCCATCATTGAGGTGTTCAAGACATAGCATGTGGTGAGGCATGAGGTTGCTGGTAATAGCCGGCAGTTTCCAATGCTGATTACTGTACAACCAAAGCACCGATAGCCGTCAGGAATGGTGCTGTGCATTTATGTAGTTCTAAAGCTGGGTTCACACGGAGCAGATTTCAGCCAAAATTTGGTGACCCTATTTCCTTAGCAGAAGTCAATCATTAGATATACTTTTGCCAAAGAAACATGTTGGAAAATATTTGGCTGAACGGAGCTTGTAGCCAATTAGCTGCAAGCTCTGTTTGTTTATTCAGTCGGCGGCCACTGTCAGAATACAATAAAAGCGGCGCAGGCATTGTCCATCCATGCTGTTCAGCGTGGATTTAGGAATCTGTTATATTTTGTTCGTTCAGCCCGCATGTTGAGCGGAGAAAATATATACGTGTGTAGCCTACATAAGCCAGAGCAGGACAAATCCCAGTAGCTCCTGGATTGAATAAACTGGCTCCTGAATTCCATATTAATATTCCACCCCAGTATTCGAGTAAACGTCCACTTTCAACTGCATTCGCATGCACTTTATCCTGTACCGAAGTGGCTAGGGGTAGGCTCGGGAGCTGACTGGCAACTTTTAGCCCAGGGGGCAAGTACAACCCAGAGGCCCATGGTGCAGCCACTTGGCCCCGCTCTGCCTCTTCCCCGCATTCTCCCCGCCCCTGTCTGCCACTTTTGCCATCCATGTAACAGTAGTGTGAATGGTCGGGAGATGTGAGGACTCCTAGTAAGTCCATGAAAGGGGTGACTGGCTAGGGGATGGTGCTCTCCTCCCACTGGGCTCTCTACATGGTTCTGGCCTAATTCCGCTCTATGTCTGGTACATAGGCACTCTCGCCCACTGTACATGCCACTGGCTGTCCATGCTTCTGGGCTGTGAGCTGTGGGAGGTTAGTGGGAGGGGCCGGACAGTGTCAAAGTCAGTGTTCTATAATTTTTCTCGATCCTATACATTTTCTCTTTTTTTTTTATTATTGCCTTTACTTCTGCTTTAACATTCATGAGAATGGTTACAGTTTGACTGTTAGATCTGTTATATGAATAGCAGCAGATTGTATGTCCAGGCAATAAAGACCTTAGTTTGAGACAAATTGGGAAAAGAGTAAATGTCTAGTATAGCACCAATATGTAGTAATAGTACAATGCCTTCTACCGTGACCCCTCCCCGGAGTCACGTTATTAAGAGATGCCTGAGATGGGGCTTCTTAGGTAGTAATTTACACTCGGGTGGTCCCTGTCCCAGAGAAACTGCCTGTAGCTGTTTTGAGGGGCCCTTGTAGTCATATATACACCTTGTGGCACTTTAGACATAGCACACCTGGCAGAACAAAAGCTGTTAAACAATGTGCCAGTGGGTGTGTAATTACCTTGTTTTAGAGAGAGAGAGAGAGAGAAAAAATACGTCAAGCAAGTGATCCATAGTGTGACTTATTCATTGACATTTCCTAAGAAGACACAACAATGTTTCAGTTCCGTAATTGACTTCTTTTGTAGTTATATCTCCTTTACTTTATTTGGGTTCACGCGGCACCATCAGCTGGTCAAACCGACACTCACTTTATGTACTTTGGGATTCCGATCTGGTGTGCGGTGGTACTTTTCTCCGCAACAGGGACACACAAATACAAAACTCCTGAACTAAAACACAAGAGTCCACCGGATTGGCAGAAATTTACTTTTATATCTATCAATCCAGTGTGATCTGTTTCTTGGGTCTAAAGCTGGGCATACACTGCCCGAATCTCGACTCTGAGAGTTGTTTGTGGCTCTGTTGGCACCACCTTGATCAACAGAAGTTGACTATTCATTCGACTTTTGTCGAAGGGGGAAAATTGTTGGCCGAACACGGACTACAGCCAATCAGCAGGCTCTGGCTGTTAAAATAACAATGGCCAGCAGAGAAGAATCATTCATTGGGGCATCTGTTAGATCGAACAGTGTATGGCCAACTTTAGTTATGACGTTCCATATCACCTATGGATATACACAGAGCTAGCAAGGATTGACGACTTTGGGTCTAGCGATCCTTTGATGATTCCATAGTAAGCATGTTCTGTTACTGGTGGGCAACAAAAACCTGACAAGCCCTAAGCTTTCTCTATGCTATATAAAACCAAAAAAGTATGTATGACTGGAGTTGAATCCAAGGATAGATACATAGATACCTGAAAGATTTTCCAGTTGACAAACAGACTCAAAACTCTAGATCTAGACATACATTTTGGAAACGTTGATCAGTCGTGTTTCTGCCATGATAGCTACACTTAGAATATATTGCTTGCTGTGAAAGTCCATTATATAAAATGATACCCTTGTGCATGAGGTCCAGTGGATCTCCCATAAGAAAGCTCCGAGGTTTAAACCTTTCAGTCCTTGCTGAAGTATTCCAGATTTTCTGGCTGCCACGCACACCTCACAAGTAATCCTGCATCTGGGAAGACTTAAACTTGTTATTTATTCTGATCCATCCATTACTGTCTATAAGAAAACTGGGGATAATACTTTAATATAGTGCATAAGTTCACAGCCATACAGGATGAGGCCCCAGACATAACAACCGAGCTGTTTTAGATTTAAAGGGCACGCATTCAATAAACATCTTCAGCTATTATATAGGAACATGAGATTTGTTTTGCAGTTATGGCACACAGAATATATCCCGTGAGGTTTGAAGGATGCCATAACTCATAAGCAACCAGAAACCATCTTAATCGATTATTCTCCCATAAGCTTTCACTTGATTGCTGCTATAAGTAATTTTTATCACTTCTTTCTAAGACTCATGAAGTATATCTATAGCCAGAACCTTTATTTCTTTAGATAAAATAGGTCAGGGCTGGACAAATCCTAGGGGCCAGGTAGCCAAGGCCCATAAAAAATTACAGCTGGTGGCTAACGTTTGAGGTTTTCCCTAGTTGTTGTCAGTGGAGCTGACTCCTAAAAAAAAATCCTGCTGGATTAAACATACTGGCCACGGAATGCCGTATTACTTTGTCCACCCATTTATAAGGGAATTGTTAAAGCCCTTGTCATTTTTTTGCATTCTCTGTCCCATTAGGGGGTTTCGATTAATTTTTTTCCCCTGCTGGAAACGTTGTTAATTATAGTGCGGTATTATCTTCCAAGATTGGATTGATGTCTCAACATTAACGAAAGTAGAGCCTTTCTGACAGGTTCTCTCCCCGGGGTCATGTTATTGAGAGATAACTGAGACTGGCACATTGGATACCTACCTAATGGGAATTGGCAATCGCTTTTTTTTAAAATTATCTGCCACTTCCTGTTTTATCATCTTTGAAATGCACCACTTGATGTATATTTTGTCTGTTGTAATCATATTAACATGCTTATTCCACAAGGGAAGCAAATCCTATCTTTCTTCTACAGTGTTTTGAAGGCCCCTATTAAATGGCTTCTAAAAATAGACACCAGATAC